AAATAAACAATATGAACTCCCCGTCAAATTCATTGTCGTAGCCTACTTAGTTTCGAAAAAAACTATTTTTTACAAAATAGGTATCAACTTTAAGATTCTTCTGCTATAAAAAAATTTGAAAATACCTACTGACTTATTTTTTAATGTAATTTATAATACAGGGTGAGTCAATACTATACTTACTTATGTTTATGAATTTTATTATTCATATCTCGAGTTCAACAAAAGCTATTAACATGCGGTTTGCTCCATTTTGTTACGAATTTCTTCCAGTTCCATTATAATTTACAATAAATAGGTGTTTTCATTAAAAATTTGAAGAAAAACAAATTTTAATTTTTTTTTATTTGAAAGTCCCCTCTACCTACGACTATGAAAACTAAATGCAAGTATTTGATAGTAGATGTGACTTAATTCATCCACACTCTTTCTAACGACACTAATTTCATTAAAATCGGTTGGACCAAATCAAAGTTATAGGTATTTATCCACAAATACTTTCCCACTCTCCCCACACCCTTTATTTGAAAAAATAAAAAAAAAAGTACTCAAATAACTTTGTGCAGAATTTATGCCTGTTTCTAGTTTACCTATTTAACACTTGGTATAATTGGACAAATTTCCCAAAAAACTGGTTTTCAAAATTTCTTCGCAGGTTACGCCCCTAGCGGTTAATCCAGAATCTTGAAAATTATTTCCAGCGATTTCTCTTGGCCACTTTACTAAGGAATTTTTTTTCCTAAAGTTATAACATGAATAGTTTCTGATATATAGCCGAGAGATCGGCTTATTGGACAACCCGGTACATGTAGCTTAAAATAATTTTTAAGCTTACCGAAGTTAATTGTTCTTCAAACAAGTAGTTTTTACTTTGTAGACCGCTTTGCCATTACATTAGCTTAACTAAATAATTCCTTTACGTACTGAACCATTTGGGTATTTTAATTCGAAACAAACTGTAACATTCTACATTTGTGTTAAGCCTTTTGATCTTCGATAATTGTCAGAAAAGCGCATTTAACATAACATAACTATATTCTCAACGAAAATGCAGCGCAACAGTTCTCTGATGTTGAATTATTTGTCATTCCCATCTGTTTAATTCGTCTTATTCCTCTCTCTAATAATTATGACTTAAATGGAGAAACTCAATTTCCAAGCTGGCACAGACAATGAATTAGTAATTTCGTTTTGTCTGCGTTGTAGCATTAACAAAGGCTTTGTAGAAATAGTAAAATAGTAAATGTGCAGAATAGAAATGATGGTTAATGTTTTTTAGTGCTTATATAATATGTAACAATATAATTTCTATCTTTTGATTAAAAATGTACCACAAGAATAAAAAGGAAAAGACAGTTAAGATTTGACTTCACGTATAGTGCGTTAATGAAACCAAGCATAAGTCACCTCCATAAAAGTAAAGAATATAAAAAAGAATGGATGACAGATGAGATACTGAACTTCATGGATGAAAGAAGAAAACAGAAAAACAAAAAGAACCAGAAGTATAAAGAGATACAAAAAAAAATTCGTCTAAAAATACGCACAGCTAAAGAAAACTGGTACGGGGAAAAATGCGAAGAAATCGAACAACTACAAAATAAACACGACAGCTTTAATGCACATAGGAAGATCAAAGAGTTGACGAGGAGACAAAGTAACAGACACAACATATTAGTAGACGAGAGTGGAAACATTATTATGGACACAGAAGAAAAATTAAGAGTCTAGAAACAGTACATAGAACAACTGTTAGATCAAAGAGACAATGTAGATAACGAATACATAAACAGTGACACAGGACCAGAAATAACAAGAGGTGAAGTGGAATATACGATTAAAGAAATGAGGTCGGGGAAGGCTACAGGCCCAGATGAACTACCAATAGACATAATTAAACTCATCAAAGGCAACAACTTAATAAAGATCGTGGAACTATTTAACAGCATTTACAAATCTGGTATCATACCTAATGAATGGCTAGTAACAACAATAATAGCCATACCCAAAAAAGTCTAATGCGAGACAATGCTCGGAACATCGCACCATCAGTCGCATGTGTCATATATTAAAGGTCTTCTTAAAAATCATTCATCGAGAATATATAAAAAATTGGAAGTTGACATCGGACCCTCTCAATTTGGCTTTAGAGACGGACTAGGAACTAGAGAGGCACTGTTTGCTTTTAATGTTCTAACACAACGATGCTTAGACGTAAATCAGGACATATTTGTGTGTTTCCTAGACTATAACAAAGCATTTGATACAGTAAAACATAGGCCACTGATGCAAATACTGGAAAATAAAAATATTGATACAAGGGATATGCGTGTGATAAGGAATCTATACTACAAACAGGAAGCTATAGTACGAATTAACAGCTCGATATCAGATAGAATACAGATCAAAAGAGGTGTTCGGCAGGGCTGTGTGTTGTCTCCAATCTTGTTCAATGTCTACGCGGAAGAAGTTATTAAAAAAGCTGTTATGAACGAAAAAGCCGGAGTAAACATCAACGGTCACCCATTTGCAATATCCGATATGCTGATGATACCGCGCTCATAGCAGAAAATATTGACGACCTACAGAGATTACTAAACAAAGTGGTAGAAGCAAGTGAAGAATTTGGTCTGTCACTGAATACAAAGAAGACCAAATTCATGATAATTACAAAGAAACGTATCAATAATATCAACTTACATGTAGGACAGAATCTCATTGAAGGAGTACAAAATTACAATTACTCGGAATAAATATTAACGAGTCAAACGAATACAACAGAGAAATAAGAATAAGAATAGAGAAAGCCCGCAGTGCCTTTAAACAATATGAAACAAATGTTGTGTAGCCGAAACCTAAGCCTAAAGCTGAAAATACGAATGCTTAAATGTTATGTTTTCTCGGTCCTGTTATATGGGGTGGAGGCGTGGACACTAAATAAGCAATGTATGGGTAAGCTGGAGGCATTTGAGATGTGGGCGTACGAAGAATGTTAAAAATCTCCTGGAAGGATAAGATAACTAACAAAGTTGTATAGACAGAATGAACAAACAAAAGGAGGTCGTATTGAGTGTTAAAATGAGGAAACTACAATACCTGGGACATATTACACGTGGAATAAATATCAACTGTTACAACTAATTATGCAAGGAAAGATTGAAGGTAGGCGCAGCATAGGTAGGAGAAGAATGTCATGGTTGAGAAACCTCAGGGAGTGGTTTGCTTGCACTTCCATACAATTGTTCCGAGCGGCAGCCTCCAGGGTCAAAATATGCCATGATGATAGCCTACCTTCGTAGCGGAGATGGCACGTGAAGAAGAAGAAGATATTGCGTCTATGTATCCGCTTATACGTATTTCGGCCCAATAGGCCTCATCAGAACGGCAAATTTATAGTCGCTCTTAACGGAAAATAAATCTTTTCTGTCTTAGGAAGCAATTCTAACATGGCTTCGAATGGACGCAAATTTAAATCCGTAAACTAATTTTCGAAACCAAATTCATTTTTTTGCTTTAATCTGTGCCTTCTCTTTTTATTCCGATTACCCTGTACCAGTACCTACTAGAAACACCTCCTAGTCCTCCAATTCGCTAAGGATTTTTGCCTAGTTGAGGAGATATGTCGTGGTATGCAAATTTTGGATTCCCCATGTCTCTAATAACGTCTTTATCAACGTCTGTTTTGCCTTGCAATTCTTAGAAACTGTTGTCTAAGACGGGAATAGATTTTGTTTCGATTCAAAGTATTGGCTATTCCGCTCTGAGGTCGAAATACATATAAGCGGCTTGCCGCTGCTCTGTATCGAAACAAAAATCTAGTGCCGTCATTATGTTCTATTTCTTTACTCCGTTTGGAGTACCAAAAATTGAATTCACTACGAATTTTGACCATGATGAACGGCATGTGGAATGCAATTTTAGATTCCCTTTCCGAGTAATTTATCAAGCTGTTGGCTTTGCAACTTTTAGAAAGCACAGTGGTAAAAATTTGAATTCGATTTCACCAGGTAGATCGTATGATTTCTCTTCTTGTTATTTAGAATATCTTTGCTTTATTTACACATCGGTTCTTAACACTCTTTACATCCGCACTCTTAATTCGAATGTAATACGGAGTATGGTATAAAAAATGGTAAGGCAGTAGAACTTGATGAAATACCTGTAGAGGTTTGGAGAACCCTACGAATGGGTTGATATTTTGAGGCGAATAATGAGTAAGATATATGAGGAAGAAAGGGTGCCCAATGCATGGGGAGATTAAGAAAGATAAAGGGGACATTGAGCACTGTAAAAACTATATAGAGCATGAACCAAAGTAAGGAGTTGTGGCGGATTGACCGAAAGTTTTCCAGTGACGGTGCAAAATTGCCAAACAACTTACTATCTTGGTTTTAAAAATCCATAAACCAGTGATACGACTATTTATTCAGAATCTAAGAAGGTATTGTCGTACCAGGACAATCATCATTTTGGCTTTACAACCCTGTGTGGGTCCTAGCCTCCCCAAGAAGTTTTTTGCATGCGTCCATATCCATCGCCTTCCTCCGCCAAGCACGTATTTCCATATTTCTCATATCTTGATCTATGTACCAGGACAATTCTGATGAATATAAAGTGGTTCTAAGAAGACGGGGCAATCTGTCCCACCTCTCGACAGTATCTGGCTATGCTACAAGAAAATTTTCAAGGACGAATGATTTCTCGTAGGACTGATTTCCCATATCTATCACCTTCACCCGATATATCTGGGAAATGTTAAAGAGAAAATCTTGAGATATCCAGATCCACCAAAAACTGTACCTGAATTAAGTCAGAAGTCTGGTTTTTTAAGACTATGAAGAAACCTATGTTCCATAATATGTTTCAAAATCTGCATGATCGTTAGTGTTTTAAAATCGAAGTTATTAAGCTTAGTAAATTGACGTTTTTACCACTGGGCCTCCGAGATATTTTGTTATGTTTTTTAACCATTAAATAATTACTGATTATATTGTACTTACACGCCAATCCCATAACGATAACAGCAAATCTGTAGTACTTGTATTTCGTATGGTGATCTTTAGTTCCTAATCCTAGGCCTGTAAGAACGGTTGCTACAAGGTCTGTCAAAAGGGTTATTACGCAAAGGGCTGCTGCAGCTTTTATATAACCTGCAACAATAACGAAACAATTATGTACTATTTTAAATACTATGTGCAGATTCGTAAAAATACACAAAATAGTATATTATCATTCCAAATAGTATATAAACCAAGTCAGTATAATCATTAAATTATCTCGTTTATTATTAACTTTACGACATAAATGTACGTAAACAAAAATAGGAATAAATATATTTGATACAATTTTAGTTTCTTTGATTTTTTTTGTTACAATTAACAATTAAGGTCTTACGTCTATGACAAGCCAAACGAGACATAAGCAATTAACGAGTCCTAGACGCTGACGTCATCAGCGGCAAGTCATAAAAGGAACAAACTTATGACATTAAGTACCTTTTGATTTTAGCAAAAAAAAAAATGAAAAAAATAAAAACTGTATTACATATAATTTTTGTTTAGGTACATTCATGTCGTAAAGTTAATAATAAATAAGATAATTCAACAATTATGCTTCTCCATTTCCACTATTTTCTCCATTAACTCGAAGAATATCGACCGCACAAAGAAATTTGTAATAAAGATGGCTGCTAACACAACGGTGTTATTAAGTCGCGATTTTAAATTTGCACTTCTATTGACCACCCCTAAAGATTAGAATAATAACATTTGGGGTAGCTCGCCATGCAAGGTTAAATGACATTCGACTGGACTACTGTGGTTCTAATAAATATAGAAAAAATAAAAATAATTCTTGAACATATCAAAGGGAAGTGTTTTTACCGTTAAAGTACAGTCACTTTCTATTCCTAAAAACAAAAGTTCTGAAGCTATTTTCTTGTGGCATTTTAAATTAATTACTATTTAACTGGGAATAAGCCACAATTAAAGATAAAAATACGTTTATTGACGTTTCAATTTCCACTTCGGAAATCGTTCTCAAAATGATTTATATTTTTTATAAAATTTATATTATATAAAATTTTTATCTTTAATTGTGGCTTATTCCCAGGTAAATAGTAATTAAAAACAAAAGGTTTGAAAATATAAATATGTATGTGCTGCGAAAAATGTATAAAATGAAATAGAGCCAATCGTACGAAATAAATGCTATGAAATATTGCTGGTGTCTGCACACTAAACAGATTTAAATCGCATTCAACTGGTATGAACTTCTAGAGAGAGAGACAATAGAGATACGAGTACATATATTTCAAAATGATTGATGCGAAAAAATCGTGTACTAAATTTTTTGACATCTGGTACAAATTGGAGGAAATAAAAAATAAATGACGAATTATTGCCGGTAATGTAAACTACACAACCGTTATTTATTTTGGGCTTTCTATCCATTGCATTAACCCTTTGAGAAATTACCAAGACCAATAAAACACTTCAGTATTGTCCCAAGGTTTTAGCGAATTTCCATTTTCAATGAACATTTTATTATTGTTTTATGCAATAAATATATATATTATATATATTAAAAAATCAATGACCTGAAACTCCCTAGGACCTAAGTTCGGATTACAACTTTCTTTTAAAGAATTATTCCGTATGCAAGTTCGTAGCTGAAATAAAAAATATACTATCATATTCTAAAGCTAATTAAGACTGTGGGGGTTTAACAAAATAATGTACTATTACGAATTAATAGTACTAAGATTAATACCAGCTATTCCTTCGATAGCTCTGGCAAGATAAATGAACTTTCACTCATAGGTGCAAATAACAAATAATATAAAATTTAAATGGTTGCAAAAACAATCAAAAAACAAACAAAGGTATTAAACTAGGTGAACTTACCGAACCGCTAATTAGGTACCATAATTCACTACTATAAAACCAACCGATTTCGATGCATCGACGCACTCGCGAGGGTTGTGTCTTGCGTCTATTCTGCTCAACGACTTAAGCGCTTGTGTCCTACGGGATGCATAGCATACCCGAACGGTACGAATAGGGATCGAAGGTATACAGGGGGAGGACACAATGTCTTGATTAATTTATACAACCATATTTGAATTTAAACATTCTCCCCCTTTAAAGGCCATAAGGTCTTTAAAAAACAAAACGAATTCTAAATACTATCATTACTTAAACAATCAAAACGATAATTACTACAAACAATTCCTATACAAATATTAAACAAATATTCAAAACTTAAACTAAAAAATAAAAAAATTAAAATTAAAATGGTGGTTTTGTCGTGGTTCTATTCATAAAAGCCGAACAAAACAAAATCAGTAAAAAAAAATGCTGACCATTTAATCTTCATCTATCGGCACGGGACAGATTCGGACAAGAGGCCGTTTTAAGGTTCCGGTAATCGTACGCACGGTAGCCACTCGAGCTACACCGTCTTTACCCTCATGTAATTCAACAAGACGCGCGAGAGGCCACTTACACGGAGCCAAATTATCCTCCTTTAAAACAACTAAGGTGCCGATTTTAGGTACAAAACTAGGATCTAACCATTTACACTTTTGTTGCAAGGTGTGCAAATATTCCTTTCGCCATCGAGCCCAAAAGTCTCTATGGATGCGCTGTAACAACTGCCATCTGGACAAACGATTGAAGGATACCTCCGAAAATCAGGCACAGACAAAGATGTCAAGGGTTCAAGAGTCAGGAAATGTCCTGGGTCAAAGCATTGAGATCTTCAACATCATTGGTTAAAGGGGTGAGAGGGCGTGAATTTAAGACGGATTCAATTAACGTCAAAACGGTATAAAATTCTTCGTAAGTCAAAATTTGTGCCCCGACTATACGACCAATATGTTCCTTTACAGAACGAATTCCGCGTTCATAAATACCGCCAAAATGTGGAGCAGCAGGAGGAGCAAATGAAAACTTAATATTTTCCTTATCGAGAGCGCTCTCCATAAAGCTACTAAGCTGTCGATAAGCACTGTGGAAATTAGTGCCATTATCACAAATACTTGCGATACTCGACCTCTCCGAGCGACAAAACGTTGTAAAGCGGCCAAAAAGGCTTCCGCGGTCAAATCACTAGCTAATTCCAGATGTAAAGCCTTTGTAGCGCAACATACAAATAAACACAAATAGGCCTTTTGAGTTCTAACTCCCCTGTAACGAGACATGGTTATCGAAAACGGTCCACCATAATCTAACCCACAAATCGAAAAGGGTTTAATGGCACCGAGACGAAATTTAGGCAAATTACCCATAGGGGGTTGTAAGTTTTTGGGAGATTGTTTCCATACACGAATTATTTCCGAAGGAGGGCGATCATCCCATTTAAGACCGGTTGCCCAAAGTTGTTGGATTAAATGTTTAATGAAAAACGTAATAGGTGTTAGGTAACCACAAGGATCATAAATTCGAGCTAGTTCGGACAAAAACGATCTTTTGGTACAAGGGACGTCTTGCAATTTGACTGAAAATTGAAAGACGTCGGACTGTGCAATCCACTTCAAACCAAGGATTTTTAATGAAGGACCATTTGCTTCTGGATCAAAATTAATGGCATGAGGATTAATATGGGATTCAGGAAATTGCGACAACAATTTGGGTTCATTCGAACACCATTTCCGTAACTCAAAGCCTCCTAACTTTAACAAAGTAACTAATTCGTCAATTAAAGTTTGTGCTTCTTCGAGAGTCGAAGCACCAAAAACAAAATCATCAATATACGAAGCATGACGAATAAGCGAGACGGCTTTAGGAAAACGAGAGCCTTCGTCTAATGCTAATTGTTGAAGGGTTCTTAAAGCAAGATACGGCGAAGATACTATTCCAAAAGTAACAGTTAATAAACGATATTCCTGAATTTCCTCAAGGCTAGAAAATCTCCATAACACGCGTTGATAATCCGTGTGTTCAGGAGCGATTAAAATATTGCGATACATCTGACGAATGTCCGCACACAACGCAAAACGATTAAGTCTAAAATTTAACAAAAGCGAGACTATGTTCTGTTGTAGCTTAGGACCGACCAGTAAATATTCGTTCAAAGATTTGCCAAGACTGGGACTTTTCTGAGACGCATTATACACAACTCGAATTTTATTTGAAACACTATCTGGTTTCACAACGCAATGATGTGGAATGTAATACTTTCCCCTTTTCTTTTCGGCATTAGGGACTAACTGCATATGACCTAAATCAAGATACTCCTGCATATGAAAAGAATATTCTTTTTTCAAACTTGGTTGACGAGATAAACGACGTTCTAATGATAGCAGTCTATTTAAAGCAATATCATAGCTATCTTGCAAACAAGGCGGCGATTCACGAAAAGGCAAAGACACGACATATTTACCTGAGACGTCCCGATTATGTGTTTCCCGATAAATGTTTTCGCACAGAGCGTCTTCTGGTTCTGAAACTGGCTTTCCGGTATGTTTTCCAGTTCCCAAAATTTCGATAATGAAGAATCTAATGGGTCTTCAATATTTGAAAGACAAACAAGCGAAGTCGACGAAAGATTAGGTGTGCTAGTAGGTCCTAACAAAATATATCCAAAAACGGTATTTAGGGCATCAGGTTGTCCCGCTTTACCTTCAATTTTACCTTCTAACAACACCTTCGAAAATATGCTACAACCAATTAACAAATCAATGGATTGACTACAGTTAAATTCGGGATCGGCTAACTTTAAATTTTTGATATAATTCCACGTCGATATGTCAATTTTGGTGCTCGGCAAATCCGAGCAAACCCGATCTGTAATAACAGCTTCCAAGTGAAACACCGGTGACTCCTGATGACGAGGTTGGATAGAAAAACTTATTTGACCTTGATTCAGCTTCGTTTGCATCGAATTGAGTCCGTTAACTTCAAACGAACAAGGAGTTTTAGGCCAACCTAATCTACTGGCAGCTTTTCGACTAATGAACGAACTCATTGAACCCGAATCTAAAAGACATCTCAAGGGCTGTTTACACCCTTACTATCAATTGCATGAACCCAAACGGTACCGAGCAAGATTTCCTTTTTTGTTTCGTTTTTCCTCCCTACAAAACTAGCAGCACAATGTGATATTTCAGGCGAATTCTGTTCGACTCCCGATGCCCCTGGATTATTAG